CAGGAAAGGATCTACGAGAGTAGCACGAAACAGCATGCCATCTGTCATGTAACATATGCGGGTCCTCTGTTTATTAACGTCTTCAAATCGGATAGTATAGCCGACCTGCAGCTCGATGTGAAGATAGAGGGATTACTGGGATGATGACACGCACCCAACGCAGACCCTACTTCATTAGCAACTCTTGTCGCAACGGATGTGGCACCGACGCGACGCGGTTGAGTACAAGCAATAACATTTTTTTCAGCAGCCATCCTGCTTCGAAGAGGTATTGTGGCAGTTCTGGGAGAGAGTTAATTAATACGGAACTATGAATCCGACCGCACGAGTAGTTTTCCCACAGCCTGTCTAACCAGGGACAATGACGACGCCGTACATATTTCTCAAAATAGCTTCTCCCTACGATATAATGTCGATGAACATAAATATTTGGCTTGAATTACAAAACACGTACGATGTTTGAAGGCTCTCTTGCTGTGCTTGGATAGAGAGCTGCGAGTACGGCGGGGCAGAAGGAATTACATCTCCCTCTACTTCTGTTGCCCTGTGTGAGATAAAAGATGAGGCTGGATACCATGCTGCCTGCAGATTGCAACATCACAGGTAAGCACTAATGCCAACACCAGTATGTAGGAGCCCCTCCTCCGATGCCCCCTCTTCTTCCTCCTCCACTAGTGCCAGGCCTGTCTCCACGCCCCTCAACCTCGACACATGTGGGGGCGCAGGATCCATAACCTCATTCACCGTACCCTCCAAGACCACTTTGGGGAACAACACCATCCCCGAATGCGGGGCTGGGCCCTTTGACCGTTTGACGTGCGCTTCATCGAGATCTTACGTGACCCCAACCCCCTTGTCCCATTAACTTTCTCTGGGGACTTCTTCCTGGTCCCAGACGAAGCTCTTCCCCGTACCCGTCTTCCATGTAGGTAGGGTTGAAAGGATCGCCAGGATCGATGACGGCAACCATCATGTCGATGGAGGTGACGTCCTCGCCGAGACCTTTGCGTAGGTCTTGTACAGCTTTATCATCCATTGCAGTGATCTTTTTCATGACCAGCTTCCTGGGTCATCCTGCCACCACATTTCTCTCTCCGGAAGCGCGTTCTCGCCTCTCCCTCCCGTAATCCTGCTCTGGGTCCCCATCGGCCATCACACCCACTTGCGCGAACACGCCAACAAGTCTTCTGGATTTCACATGCAGAACGCAGGTGGCCGTTTGGAGCGTTAAACCGTTCGAAGGGCTGTGAATGCTGAGGCTTCCGAGCGGAAAGAGGCAGCGGGAGAGGAGCGGGGCACGGGGTGACACTCGTGTGCAGCTGGTGATTTGAGGTGGATGGGTGGGCACGTCCTCAGTTTCAATAAGCACTTCTGCATTGTTGAAACTTCAGTGTCTTGATACGTAGCAAGGATCCATGTTTAAATGAAAAGTCTTCCTCGTTTTGTTCTCAGTCTTTCGTCTTGGGTTTCGTGATACGCAAAGCTCAGAAGCTGAAGCGTTGCAGAGCGGGAGATGGGGTAGGTGTGCCACTGTCGGCTTTGGCA